TTACTGTACAAGATTTTGAATACAACTTTAATATTAAAAGTCTTAAGAAGAGAAGGCATATCAACCAAGTTTTCATGGTAAGGGAGAACCAACATATTTTTAGTTGAATAAGGCTGGTTGTCCCTTTTTGGATTGTAAAAAGTATTTCTAGCAACTTTAAAAGATTTATCAATTACATTTCTTGGGTATTTTAAATCATTACCTATTTCATAAATTTTGGATATTTCCTCATCTATGAACTCAGGACTACAAATTCATAAAGCTCTCAAAAACATATATATATATATATATCTTCTTCTTTCTTTCTTTCTTTCAACACACCGGCCGTATCCCACCGAGGCGGGGTGGCCCAAAAGGAAAAACGAAAGTTTCTCCTTTTACATTTAGTATATATATATTATATATATATATATATATATATATATATATATATATTTTATATATATATATATATATATATATACAGTGGACCCCCGGTTAACGATTTTAATCCGTGCAAGAGGGTTAATCGTTATGCGAAATAATCGTTATGCGAATGAATTTTCCCCATAAGAAATAATGGAAATAAAATTAATCCGTGCAAGACGCCCAAAAGTATGAAAAAATTTTTTTTTTACCACATGAAATGTTAATTTTAATACACACAAACTGAAAAAGGCATGCACAATTAAATGACACTTACTTTTATTGAAGATCTGGTGATGATTGATGGGATGGGAGGAGGGAGAGCATTATCTTCTTACTGTTTAGAAGGGGAATCCCCTTCCATTACGACTTGAGGTAGCAAGTCCTTTTCCGGGGTTACTTCCCTTCTTCTTTTAATGCCACTAGGACCAGCTTCAGAGTCACTGGACCTCTGTCGCACAACAAATCTGTCCATAGAGCTCTGTACCTCCCGTTCCTTTACGATTTGTCTAAAATGGGCCACAACATTGTCATTGAAATAGTCAACAGCACGGCTTGCAACAGCTGTGTCAGGGTGATTTTCATCTATAAAGGTTTGCAGTTCAACCCACTGTGCACACATTTCCTTAATCTTTGAAGTAGGCACAATGGATTCCACAACTGGCATAGGCTTCTCAGGGTTAGCCCCAAACCCTTCAAAATCTTTCTTAATTTCCATACTAATTCTCACCCTTTTTACCACAGGGTTGGCACTAGAAGCTTTCTTGGGGCCCATGGTCACTTATTTTCCAGAAACAGCACCGAAAATACTGTAATAATACGAAATATTCCGAGTGTATGCTTGGATGTTACGCGGAGGCTGGCTGGTAAACAATGGGACGGAGCGGCACATGTGAGGCTGGCTGAGGGCACATTGGACGCGTCTCGGACGAAAATCGGTATGCGGGTTTTTAATCGGTATGCGCGGCAAAAATTTTGCGATAAAAGTAATCGTTATGCGGAAAAATCGCTATGCGATGCCATCGTTATGCGGGGGTCCACTGTATATATATATATATATATATATATATATATATATATTCTCCATGGGGAAGTGGAACAGAATTCTTCCTCCGTAAGCCATGCGTGTTGTAAGAGGCAACTAAAATGCCGGGAGCAAGGGGCTAGTAACCTCTTCTCCTGTATATATTACTAAATGTAAAAGGAGAAACTTTCGTTTTTCCTTTTGGGCCACCCCGCCTCGGTGGGATACGGCCGGTGTGTTGAAAGAAGAAAGAAGATATATATATATATATATATATATATATATATATATATATATATATATATATATATATATATATATATATATATATATACAGGAGGGCCCCGCTTTACGGCGTTCCGCTTTACGGCGTTCCGCTAATACGGACATTTCAAATTATGACCAAAACTCACTATACGGCTCCCCCCACCTGACTTTCTAATACGGTCACCGTGCCCCACCCTGTTTGTTTACATTCTCCATGAGCTCAGTAAGCACTAAGTCTCTCCATTTTGTCTGGAAACTCCAAAATTTCAAATGTTTTTAAAAGTTATTTCATATTTTATATATACTCTGATAATTATACTTATGTATACCTGTACCTAAATAAACTTACATACATCGAGTCATTTAAATGTCGTATATTACGTTAATATACACATTTTCATTAATCCATCCATGATATTTTTTTCAAAATTATATAATAAACACGATGCATAACATATAAATAAGATAAATACACCCCACAGTAGAATAAATAAACAAATGTGAGATGTCGTAGCAGACGACTTGCACAAGTGGTGATAATAACAATACTGAGTCTCATTAAATGTCGTATATTACGGTAATATACACATTTTCATTAATCCATCCATGATATTTTTTTCAAAATTATATAATAAACACGATGCATAACATATAAATAAGATAAATACACCCCACAGTAGAATAAATAAACAAATGTGAGATGTCGTAGCAGACGACTTGCACAAGTGGTGATAATAACAATACCGAGTCTCATTAAATGTCGTATATTTATTCGTTTTATCTCATTTACTTACTCCTGACCCTACATTAAGACTACAAATATTTTAAGGTAAGTAATGAGTGAACTGTATATACATTTTATCGCTCTGGGATGCTTAAATATCATAGAATAGTATGTGTGGGTGGGGTGGCCTGGTGAGGCTATTACAATACATACCACACTTGATTTCTTACAATAAATACTACTTGTCTCACCCTAGATTAAGACTATAAATATTTTAAGGTAAGTAATGAGTGCACTATGTGTGTATTGTACCTTTTTATTGTTTTTTGATGCCTGGTTCTATTGCTAACTTAATATATGTTAGTGTAAACTTGTTATCTAGTGTTTGTATGCATTTATAAGTGGAAAAAAAGGGTGTTCCACTTTACGGCGATTTCCGCTTTACGGCGGTAGCCTGGAACCTAACCCGCCGTATAAGTGGGGCCTTCCTGTTATATATATATATATATATATATACACACACACATGTATATATATATATATTTTATTTTATTTATTTATTTTATTATTATTATTATTATTATTATTATTATATTGAAAGAATTTGAGGTAAGACAGAATGTAGGATTGCTGATGAGCAAGGAGGTTTTAGAGTGGGTAGGGGTATGATGTGTAGATCAAGTGTTTACATTTGCACATGCATGTGTAGTGTGACCTAATTGTAAGTAGAAGTGGCAAGATATACCTGGTATCCTGCATGTTTATGAGACATAAAAAAAGGCGCCAACATTCCTTTTTTTTTTTTTTTTTTTAACAAACCGGCCGTATCCCACCAAGGAAGGGTGGCCCAAAAAGAAAAACGAAAGTTTTTCTTTTTAAATTTAGTAATTTGTACAGAAGAAGGGGTTACTAGCCCCTTGCTCCTGGCATTTTAGTCGCCTCTTACAACACTCATGGCTTACGGAGGAAGAATTCTGTTCCACTTCCCAATGGAGATAAGAGGAAATAAACAAGAACAAGAACTAGAAAGAAAATAGAAGAAAACCCATAGGGGTGTGTGTATATATATGCTTTTACATGTATGTGTAGTGTGACCTAAGTGTAAGAAGAAGTAGCAAGATGTACCTGAAATCTTGCATGTCTACCAACCTACTACCTAGGGGACCCATCTATTTTACATATATTATTAGCATACAAAACTGACAAGTAGGTGAATATGATACACAAATAACCCGCACATAAAAGAGAGAAGCTTATGACAACGTTGTCAATGGTCCAAGTCGGACCGAAACGTCGTCGTAAGCTTCTTTCTTTTATGTGCGGGTTATTTGTGTATCGTTCCTGTCACGGTATTGTGCCTTTTTTTGTTATTTAGGTGAATATGATTGTGTGTGTGTGTGTGTGTGTGTGTGTGCAACACTTGTTTTTCTTGATTACAAAGAGGTTTTACCTATCATTGGCTTTTATCAGTCCATTTCCAAGAATAATACTTCTCCTTGCATGAAATTTTGTAATTATTGTTTATATTCAAAACTAAATACTCTCAACATTTCGCATGGTTATGGAATGAAAACAGCATGTTTGATTACCAAAATGAAAGACATAGTTACTGGAGCTATGTGACTGCAGTCTCTATAGGAACATTAGAATTGGTGATTAGGGTGAGAGTGGTTTAATACCTCACGAAGAAACTGGTAATGTACGAAGACTAAGAATGTCAAGGGTATGGTTATTGACTGTGAATGTGAAGGGAGATATGAAGACATATTTTACCAAAATATATTCTTAATGTGCAAAAGCAGATGATTGTGCTTTTTTTTTTTCAGACCGGCGTGATCGTCTCCCTCCCATTGAGTACTATATGAAAGTACCCAAAAATATCAGAGAGGATGTATTTTTTAAGGTATGAACTTACCAGCATACTTAATAAAATTTTAACAGGCATTGTAACATTTGGTAAGCTTTGGAGTTATTTATTGAGGGTCCATCCCATAGTTTTATGGCTTTGAAGCCATGAGCTCAGCTCACTCAGATAAGCTGTGAGCAGTAAATTTGTCTCTAGATATGAGAGAATGCATCTATGTGGTAAGTGTGCACCATGTAAAACAAATCCTGCAGCACACAGTGCATAATGAGAAAGAAACTGCGACCATGTTTTTGGATTAAAACAGCGACTTTGCGGTGTATTTTTGTGTGATTTTTATGGTTGTAGTCACATTTTCTTGGTCTCATTTGATAGAATGGAAGATATATTACAGAAATAGGAATGATTTTAATTGGGCTTAGTACTGAAAATAGCTTGAAATTGAGCTCAAATAGCAGAAATGTTCAATTTTTGCTGATGTTCAATAGGAAACAAATCACATCACACATCCAATACATGTCAACTGGTGGGTCTGATGTGCATTCACAAATGCACTGATATTATTTATACAATTATCACAATATTGCATAACAGTAAATCTTTTATTTTTTGGTGTGAATAAAAATTCTTTGTGAATACAAATTATAAATGGAATTCATCTGTAAAGCCTGGAAATGTAACTAATAAACAGAAGAAATGTTATTTTAGTGCCAGAAATGCCTTCATTGTTTATTCTGGACCTTATTTTGAAATTGGAATATTTTGAACTTTGTGGGAAATTGGGCAAATTACCAATTACTGATCACTTTATTGGGTAGATGAAATAGTTAATTGGGCTATTTCTTGTGCTCAGTAGATAAAATGGAACACATACTAGTGAAATAGCAAAGAATTTGATCTAATGGAACAATGTAATTGGCCAAAAATAGGACTCAGAGTGGGCAAAATTGCTGATGCGTAAATATCGCTGACAGCAAAATTCACAAGAGCATAATCTTGGCAATTTTTTTATCAAATTACCTTCAGAAAAAGATTCTCTACCATTTCACAAGAATTTTTTTTTTTTTTTTTTTTTTTTTTTTTTTTTTTTAAATTCTTGGACCCTATGGGGAATTTTCAGATTGGGCTCTGGACCCTCTAAGGGTAATGCTACTTATTGTGGAAGGTAATGTGAAAGGATGGGCTTCACTGTCACCATTTTTAATCCTTTGTACTTGACTATATGTATTTTGAAAGCAGGACGTAAGTAAATGATGATATATGTATATTTGTCTGTATGTGATGGAACTATATTTGTAAACATAATGGTCAAATATGTTTTGTATTGTTTCATGTGCTCTATATATATAAACTTACAAATTTATGGTTAATTTTCAGACTGTGAAACGTGGACACCTGCTATTTGTTAGAGTTGCAAGTTACATCCATGAATTACTCCATTGTGTTAAGGTTCAAGCAACATTGGGGAATACAGTTAGAGACCTCTTTGATACTGATATCAAGGTAGGGCCTCTTCTTGCCTCAGGCATTTCTTTTTCAGTTTTAGGATCATTGTTCACTTAGATACTGTGGATCATTATATGAAAAAAATTCACATTGTGAAAATTTAACAAAGCGCCTGCCAGAAATGGGATAATGGTTGACTAAATCTTAAAAAAAATCACTTTTAATTCTTTATTAATACCATGGGAAAATATGCAGGTCACGCTTGGTTTTGTTCAGGCCTCAGGCTACAAAGTCTGTTGCTTTACAATGATTGTAGAGGAGCAAGATGAAACAAAAATGAGCAGTACTTGCGTATCAGTGGTAAAATATACCAACAAGTACGTATGTTAATAAGATCTTTCTTCTTTCAAGGCACAGGCTGCATCCCACCAAAGCAGGGTGGACCCAAAAGAAAAACAAAAATTTCTCTTTTTAACTTTAGTAGTGTATACAGGATAAGGGTTTACTAGCCTCTGGCTCCCAGCATGTTAGTCGCCTCTTACGACATGTATGGTTTACAAAGGAAGAATTCTGTTCTACTTCCCCATGGAGATAAGAGAAAATAAACAAGAACTAGTAAGAAAATAGAAGAAAACCCACAGGGGTGTGTGTGTGTATGTATATATACATGTACATGTATATACTTGTACATATATACTTAAATGTGTAGTGTGACCTAAGCGTATGAGACAGAAAAAGAGACAATAGTAATCCTACCATCGTGTAAAACAATTACAGGCTTTCATTTTACACACTTGGCAGGACAGTAGTACCTCCCTGGGTGGTTGCTGCTTATCAACCTACTACCTTGCTACCTGTCCATTTAATTTTGTTTACCACTACTTAATTTAGTCCCTTTTATATTGTGTGGTGCAATTAGTGTATATTCCAACTTCATTATTGTGCAATTCCCAAAACTATCATTTACTAGCTAGTACTGTACCAACTACCTCATATTTTTTTTTTTTACTTTTTATAGTGCAATTAATTGCTCAACTTATTATATATTACAAGTCAGATCTTACTCCTAAATCAATATTATATCATAGTGACTATCTGTCCATTTAACTTTGTTTACCATTACAGTGGACCCCGCATAACGCTATTAATCCGTTCCTGAGAGCTCAATGTTATGCGAAATTATCGTTATGCGAATTAATTTTTCCCATAAGAAATAATGGAAATCAAATTAATCCGTGCAAGACACCCAAAAGTATGAAAAAAAAAAATTACCACATGAAATATTAATTTTAATACACACAAACTTAAGAAAACATGCACAGTTACATGACACTTACCTTTATTGAAGATGTGGTGATGACTGATGGGATGGGAGGAGGGGAGACTGGATGGCTTAAGTGTTTAGAAGGGAAATCCCCTTCCATTAGGACTTGAGGTGTCAAGTCCTTTTCTGGGGTTGCTTCCCTTCTTCTTTTAATGCCACTAGGACCAGCTTCAGAGTCACTGGACTTCTGTCGCACAACATATCTGTCCATAGTGACCTGTACCTCTCGTTCCTTTATGACTTTCCTAAAGTGTTTCACAACAGTGTCAGTGTAATAGTCACCAGCACGGCTTGCAATAGCTGTCTGAAGGTGATTTTCATCCATGAAGGTTTGCACTTCAAGCCACTTTGCACAGATTTCCTTAATCTTTGAAGTAGGCAACTTCTTCAATTTCTCTCTCCGAACTGGCAGGCTCACCATGCCTTATCACACTGTGTATGCCACTACGCCTCTTAAATCTCTCAAACCAACCTTTGCTGGCCTTAAATTCACTTGCATCACCACTAGTTGCAGGCATTTTTCTAATTAAATCCTCGTGCAACTTCCTAGCCTTTTCACTTACGATCGCTTGAGAGATGCTATCGCCTACTATCTGTTTTTCGTTTATCCACACCAGTAACAGTCTCTCAACATCTTCTATCACTTGCGATCTCTGTTTCGAAAGCACAGTTAAACCTTTGGCAAGAACAGCTTCCTTGATTGCCGTTCTCTTGGACACAATAGAAGCGGTGGTTGATTGGAGTTTACTATACAACCTGGCCAGCTCGGAGACACGCGCTCCACTTTCATACTTAGCAATGATCTCTTTCTTCATCTCCATAGTAATTCTCACCCTTATTCCTGTAGGGTTGGCACTAGAAGCTTTCTTGGGGCCCATGGTCACTTATTTTTCAGGTGAAATCACTATAAAAAGGCTGTAATAATATGAAATGTTCCGATTGTATGCTTGAATGTTACCGCAGAGGCTGGCTTGTAAACAATGCCACTGGCAGAACAAGTGAGGCTGGCTCAGGCTGCATGGACCTGTCTCGGACGAATCGCGTTGGGCGAATTTTTTAACACTATGCGAGGCAAAATTTTAGCGATAAAATGTATCGCTATGCGGATTTAACACTATGCGATGCCAATGTTATGCGGGGGTCCACTGCATTTAGTTTAGTCCCTTATATATTTTTCCTTTATTTTAGCTTTAAATAACTACCTTAGTTCATATATTCACAATTGTTAAAATAATCAAGGTGCTATTCTCAGGTGCTAAAGTGTAATACGTTCATTATTTTACTATTATATTCCCTAGCTCCTCTATTTGATCACCACTTTATTTGTTCACCACAACTTATTTTAGTCCCTTTTATATTGTCTCCTTTATTTTAGCTTTAAAGAACTATCTTAGTTCATATATTTACATTTGTTAAAATAATTCAGGTGCTATTTTTTAGCTTTAGAATATTTACTTTGTCTTATACTTAAGTCTAATTATAGATTCACTATAAATCTTATGATTACAAGCATTGATCCTGATACCAACCTCTTATTGAATGACTTAAATGAATCAAACAGCAACTGTAATTACTACACAGAACAATCAAAGGCACTTCTCAGAGCCAACAACAACATAACTGTCTTTAACTACAGTGTCAGATCTTAAAGCAAACATTACGATGACCTCACAGCATTACTAAATTCCCTGCATGCCAGTATGTCCATCATTACTCTCACCGAAACTTGGCTGAAGCCTGATACTACAGATGTCTATGCCATTCCTGGTTACACAACCATAAACAACTGTAGGCCAGATCAACAAGGGGGTGGCACAGCTGTATGCTACTCAGACCAACTAGAATGTATCAGTAATACATGCACAAGGGATGAACATGGGGAATATATAATAGCTAAATTCAAATCCAAATACTACCTACAAAAACCTCTCACAGTGATAAACATCTGCAGAGTACCAGTCAGACATTAGCCATTTTAGTGAAAACCTAGGAAGAATGATAACTGATGCACACATGAATAAAGATCACTTACTACTCTCAGGTGACTTCAGTATAAGCCTCCTGCAAGACCAGGACCCACATGTTACTGAATTCACAAACACTATGAGTAACTGCTTGTTGCTACCAACAGTAACAAAACCTACAAGAATTACAGAGATTAGCATTTCCCTACTAGACCACATCTGGACCAACACCATATCCCCTTTAAAATCAAGCATAATCACAGATAATACCACAGACCACTACCCTACCTTTCTCATAACCAATCTAGGTAAATTACCCCAAGACACTACTAAAGTCACTTACAGACTTCATAATGAGGCAGCCATTAATAACTCCACAACAGCAATGACAAACATCGACTGGCATACTGAGCTAGAAATCTATACAGATATTGAAGAATGTATTAATAATTTTCTAAAAAAGACCCAATACCTCTATAACAAGCACTGCCCTAAAAAAACTAAGCAGAGCACAACTAAGAGACTGAACAGTCCTTGGCTAACACCCATCATCCTCGAATCCATAAATACAAAGCACCTATACGAAAAACAGTACAGAGTGGGTCACGTAACCAGAGACCAAACAAAACGTTACTCGTCAATCCTAACCAGCCTGACGAGAAGGGATAAAAAATTGTATTATGAGAACAGACTATCCAACTTAAAAGGTGATATAAAAAAGACCTGGAAAACCCTATCAGAAATTCTAGGAACAAAAAAGATATCAGGAAATAGCGCAATTGAAATAACAAAACCAGACGAACCCCAACTCCCACCAACTGAAACAGCAAACAGACTCGACGTTTTCTTCTCCACCATAGGAAAAAACCTTGCCGATAAAATCCCAAGCTCAAATACCCCACCCAATGACTACCTCACTGGTAACTACCCGAACACACTGTTCCTAGCTCCAACTAACCCAACAGAAGTCTCCCTTATTATCAACACACTAAAAAACAAGACACGAGATATAAATACCTTACCACATAAAAACTTCGCAAGTGCTGTCACCAATCATTGCAACACACTTTAACAAATCCATCGAATACTCTACCTTTCCTACAGTTCTCAAAATAGCGAGGATCACCCCGATACATAAAGGAGGAGACCAAACAGACTTGAATAACTATAAGCCAATATCCAACTTATACCCTCTCTCTAAAATCTTTGAAAAATTAATTCATAAGCGAATCTATTCCTACCTCATCTCCCACAACATACTCAGCCCCTGTCAGTTTTGGTTCAGGCCTAATAAAAATATGAATGATGCTATTATACACGTTAGAACAAATATGCACTGCACTCGAGAAAAAAGAAGTCCCATTGGGGATATTCATTGATTTACGTAAAGCCTTTGATGCAGTTGACCATTATTTGCTCCACATAAAATTGTCACACTCTGGTACAAGAGGGCACTCCCTCAACTACCTAAAGTCATACCTCAGAAACAGAAGCCAATATGTGTACACAAATGGAGCAAACTCTTCCACACAGTCAATTACAGTTGGTGTCCCACAGGGAAGTGTCCCTGGCCCTCTTCTCTTTCTCATTTACATAAACGACCTACCAAATGCATCTCGACTACTCAAACCCACACTATTTGCAGATGACACTACATATGTCTTCTCTCACCCAAGCCCAGTCATGCTAGCCAATACTGTAAATACCGAATTACAGAAAATATCTACCTGGATGATGACTAACAAACTTACTCTCAACATTGACAAAACCTACTACATTCTCTTTGGAAACAGCTACGGATGTCCTTCTTAACATAATGATGAACGGCTCACCTATCACGAAGCTCACAGAGGGAAAATTCTTAGGAATCCACTTTGTTAATAGACTCAAATTTCAAACACATGTTCAACAAATTTCCAAGAAAATTTCTAAGACCATATGCATACTATCGAAGATACGGTACTCTGTTCCACAGTCAGCCATCCTGGCCCTCTATCACTCACTCATTTACCCCTATCTCACCTATCTAATTTGTGCATTGGGTTCAACAACAATAAACTATTTCAGACCATTAATTACCCAACAGTAGGCTGCAGTAAGAATGATAACAAATTCCCACTACAGGCAGCGCACTCCACCAATATTCAAAACTCTAAACCTACTCACCATACTAAACATCCATACTTATTATTGTACCTACTACATACATAGAACACTTAACTCGGATATAAACCCTCCCCTCAAACGTCTCCTTACCAACCTCAACAGAACTCATGACCATAACACAAGGCACAGATCACTCTTTGATGTTCCTCATGTCCATCTCACACTATGCATAAACTCAATGCATATAAAAGGCCCTAAAATCTGGAATTCATTACCTGTGAATATAAAAGAAACACTGTTTATAAATTCAAGTCTCTTCTTAAAAACCTCTTACTCACCCACAACAACTAAATAAATATTGAATAACTGTATCTCATAAATGTATAACCTGTGACCCTATCAAACTTGTTTTTTTTAATTATATTGCCTAATAGAATACTCCATTCTCTTGAATGCACAGTAACTCGTCAAATGACCATATGACTTGTCTTTGAAATACTCATTTGTGCTTAATTGTTATTTGTTTACTGTAATTTTTACCACTGAATATATCATTGCTTAGTTAATCTTTAGAAGTTAATTTTAAGCCTGCCCATAATGCTGTGCATACAAGGGGCTTTTGGCATGTACACTTAACCACTGTATTTCTTTGTACATCTATGTATCATGTCCAATTTAATAATAAATAAATAAATACTAAGATATGGTATGCATTTATGACATTGTGGAGGGAGGTGAGATGAGAAGTACAGATGGATAGATGATATCACTTGCAGTAATTTTACTCAGTCAAGTTGAAATATTGAAGTGGAAAATTTATTGCACCAGTAGGCTGAATTCTGTACTTAGTTTTACGTAATAGCAGAGTCGTATCCATTGAGAAAGAATTTGGCCAGGGTTTTAGAAATTAGGAATGAACCTAATTTCTGTGTGATGGTGTTAATTATAGCAGTCAGAGCAGATTCTAAATAGTCGGTTCTGTCTTTCTGTTTCCTTGATAACTAGTCACTGGGGAAGTTCATTGGATGGTTCTTTTTTTGTGGTTAATAGTGCGGGCATTGTTCATGTTGTCTCTCCAGCAGGCACCTCTGCCTTTGCTGATCCTTGTGTTCAGGTCCCTGCCAAGTAGACCCCAGCACTGGTGTCTTTAGTTGTATATACTGAATTACCGATAGAAACAGGGCATCACATAATGGTAAATTTGCATAAATCTAATCCAAACAAAGCTAGTGAAAGCTATATTTTACATTATTTGAGGGTCATTTGGTAAATAAATTGGGGCATTATGTTTTTTATTAAATATAATGCATGTCACACTGTACTTTGTACTGATATTATAGATTAAAAAAATAAAAATTATACTATGCAACATTTTCTTTTAAAAAATAAGATAAATCATTATTACTCTCTGTCACAGGCTCATCTCCGTCTTGAAGATTCCCAGCCAGAACCAGTAGATCAAGACAACTTAGGACGATGGATGCTACGGACACGGTTATGGGTTGAGGTGTTAGAAGTGGATGCTACTGATAAATATTTACTTGTTGGTACTAATGGAGTCACCATTCCACCACATATGAAAGATAAAGTTAAACTTGGGAAGGTTACTCTGAATGATCGGCCAGCCATCATCAGGTAATGAGGTGTGATGAATGGTTTTGAAAACCGACAAGTTGAAGAATTGAGACACTTATGCAACATATGGGAATCTTTATTGAAAAAACGTTTTGCCACACAGTGGCTTCATCAGTCTTGTACAAAGCAGGAAGGTATAAGGAGAGGAGGAGTTTGAAGTAATCAGTCCATCAGCCTGGAGTTGATGTGTTCACTCCATCAATCTTGTAGAAAGTACAGCACAGGGCCAAAGCAGTGGCTTATATACTGTAGTCAGGCAAGGCGAAGCAGGAGGAGGTGGGGGTCATAGTGGAACCATCCACTAGTCTAAGTAGGTCTTTGACCAAAGATTGGACAGGTTTTGAAGAATTTTTTGTATCAAGATCCCATGATGATGCAGTGTCTGACAGATGTGATGAATGATTTTGAAAACTGACAAGTGGAAGAATTGAGACACTTGTGCAACATATGGGAATCTTTATTGAAGAAACGTTTTGCCACACAGTGGCATCATCAGTCTTATACAAAGCAGGAAGGTATGACCCCGTCTCCTCCTGCTTTGCCTCACCTGACCACAGTATATAAGCCATTGCTTCGGCCCTGTGCTGTACTTTCTACAAGATTGATGGACTGAACACATCGACTCCAGGCTAAGGGCTGATTACCTCAAACTCCTCCTCTCCTTATACCTTCCTGCATTGTATGAGACTGATGAAGCCACTGTATGGCAAAACGTTTCTTCAATAAAGATTCCCATATGTTGCATAAGTGTCTCAATTCTTCAACAGGTAATGAGGTGGCTCTTTTAACTGCTTTTGTTAGTCTTGTAATGTATTTTTAAATTGGGAGTAATTTATAGCCCGTTAGCTATAAATAACACCAAAAAACCAAACATACTAAGTGATTTCTTCTCTACTGAAGATTGAAGGCTAGCTAGCTAAAACCTAACAACAAAGGGGCCCAACACTGATCACTGTGGAACACTGCTTGTGACGTATCCCAACTTTGATTTCGTCCCATTTATGCAAACACAGTTTCCTATTTGTCAACCATGCCTCTATCCTGGAAAAATTTACCCTCCTGTTCCGTGTGCCTCTACTTTCCTCATTTTCTGGTGTGGCTCTTTGTGCTTACTAATTTTCTTGTGTGTCTACCCATGCATATGCATTATCGGTATTCTCACAGAAATAAAGCAGTATCATTATCAAGTATACAACGAAGTATAAGAATAATATTGCCTTTTGCAATGATAATTGAGTACCCATGGATATATTTTTTGTTTTCCCAAGAAACCGGTTATATTTTATCGAGGTAGGGTGACCTAAAATGACAAACAAAAGTTTTTCTTTTTTAAATTTAGTAATTTATACAGGAAAAGGGGTTACTAGTCCCTAGCTCCCAGCACTTTAGTCATCTCTTATGACATGCATGGCTTATGGAGGAAGAAATCTGTTCCACTTTCCTGTGGAGATAAGAGGAAATAAAGAAGAACCAGAACTATTAAGGAAACAAAACCCAGATGGGAATGTATACAGTAGGGCCCCACTTACACAGCACGTTAGGTTCCAGGCTACTGCCGGAAAGTGGACATTGCTGGAAGCAGAACGCCATTTTATAAATGCATATAAATGCCAGATAACAATTCTTTTTTTTTTTTTTTTTTTTCAACAAGTCGGCCGTCTCCCACCGAGGCAGGGTGACCCAAAAAAGAAAGAAAATCCCCAAAAAGAAAATACTTTCATCATCATTCAACACTTTCACCACACTCACACATTATCACTGCTTTTGCAGAGGTGCTCAGAATACAACAGTTTAGAAGCATATACGTATAAAGATACACAACATATCCCTCCAAACTGCCAATGTCCCAAACCCCTCCTTTAAAGTGCAGGCATTGTACTTCCCATTTCCAGGACTCAAGTCCGACTATATGAAAATAACCGGTTTCCCTGAATCCCTTCACTAAATATTACCCTGCTCACACTCCAACAGATTGTCAGGTCCCGAGTATCATTCGTCTCCATTCACTCCTATCTAACACGCTCATGCACGCTTGCTGGAAGTCCAAGCCCCTTGCCCACAAAACCTCCTTTACCCCCTCTTTCTAACCCTTTCGAGGACGACCCCTACCCCTCCTTCCTTCCCCTATAGATTTATATGCTTTCCATGTCATTCTACTTTGATCCATTCTCTCTAAATGACCAAACCACCTCAACAACCCCTCTTCTGCACTCAGACTAATAAATTTATTAACTCCACACCTTCTCTTAACCCTTTCAGGGTCCAAGGCCCAAATCTGGAGTCACGCACCAGTGTCCAAGAATTTTCAAAAAAAAAATTTGTTATTTTTTCTTATGAAATCGTAGAGAATCTTTTTGTGAAGGAAATAAAACAAAAAGTACGAAATTTGGTGGAAAATTGACGAAATTATGCTTTCGCGAATTTTGATGTGTCAGCAATATTTACGAATCGGCGATTTTGCCGACTTTGACTCCCATTTTAGGCCAATTACATTATTCCAATCAACCAAATTCTTAGCTATTTCACTAGTATTACTTCTATTCTATCGATTGAGCACAAGAAATCGCCAAGTCAACTGTTTCAACTACAAAATAAAGTGATCGGAAATTGTTAATTTGGCCAATTTAACACAAAGTTCAAAATATTCCAATTTCAAAATAGGGTCCAGAATGAACAATGTAGGCATTCCTGGCACTAAACTAACATTTCCTCTGTTCATTAGTTATGTTTTGAGGCTTTACAAATAAATTCCATTTTGATTTTTTATTCACATAATGAATTTTTATTCACACCAAAAAATAGAAGATTTACTGTTATGCAATACTGTAATAATTGTATAAATATCATCACCATATTTGTGAATGTATATTAGACCCACCAGCTGACGTGTATTAGACGTGTGAGGTCGTTTGTTTACTCTTGAATATCGGGAAAAATTTAACATTTCTGCTACTTTGAGCTCAGTTTCAAGCCATTTCCAGTGCTAAAACCAATCAAAATCATCTATATTTCTGTAATATATCTTCCATTCTATCAAATGAGACCAAGAAATCGCAAATACAACTATAAAAAACATACGAAAAAACACTGCAAAGTTGCCGTTTTAATCGAAAAATCATGATTTCATTTTTTTTCTCTCATTATACACAGTGTGCTTCAGGATCTGTTTTATGTGGTGCACACATACCACATAGATGTATTCTCTCATATCTAGGCCCAAATGTACCACTCACAGTTTATCAGAGTGAGCTGAGCTCATGGTGTAGATCTACGGTTTGGACCCTGAACGTAAAGCCGTAGATCTACGGGACGGACCCTGAAAGGGTTAATTTCCACACTCCGAATTTTCTGCATAATATTTACACCACACATTGCCCTTAGACAGGACATCTCCACTGCCTCCAACCGTCTCCTCGCTGCTGCATTTACCACCCAAGCTTCACATCCATATAAGAGTGTTGGTACTACTATACTTTCATACATTCCCTTCTTTGCCTCCATAGATAACATTTTTTGACTCCACATATACCTCAATGCACTACTCACCTTTTTTCCCTCATCAATTCTATCATTAACCTCATCCTTCATAAACCCATCCGCCGACACGTCAACTCCCAAGTATCTGAAAACATTCACTTCTTCCATACTCCTCCTCCCCAATTTGATATCCAATTTTTCTATATCTAAATCATTTGATACCCTCATCACCTTACTCTTTTCAATGTTCACTTTCAACTTTCTACCTTTACACACATTAATAAATAACAAAAAGGCACAATACCGTGACTGGAACAATACACAAATAACCCGCACATAAAAGAGAGAAGCTTACGACGACGTTTCGGTCCGACTTGGTGTGACTGTCAATGGTCCAAGTCGGACCGAAACGTCGTTGTAAGCTTCTCTCTTTTATGTGCGGGTTATTTGTGTATTTTACACACATTCTCAAACTCATCCACTAAACTTTGCAATTTTTCTTTAGAATCTCCCATAAGCACAGTATCATCAGCAAAAAGTAACTGTGTCAATTCCCATTTTGAATTTGATTCCCCATAATTTAATCCCACCCCTCTCCCGAACACCCTAGCATTTACTTCTTTTACAACCCCATCTATAAATATATTAAACAACCATGGTGACATTACACATCCCTGTCTAAGACCTACTTTTACCGGGAAGTATTCTCCCTCTCTTCTACACACCCTAACCTGAGCCTCACTATCCTCATAAAAGCTCTTTACAGCATTTAGTAACTTACCACCTATTCCATATACTTGCAACATCTGCCACATTGCTCCTCTATCCACTCTATTGTATGCCTTTTCTAAATCCATAAATGCAATAAAAACTTCCCTACCTTTATCTAAATACTGTTCACATATATGCTTCAATGTAAACACTTGATCTACACATCCCTACCCACTCTGAAGCCTCCTTGCTCGTCTGCAATTCTACATTTTGTCTTACCTCTAATTCTTTCAATTATAACCCTACCGTATACTTTTCCTGGTGTACTCGGTAAACTTATTCCTCTATAATTTTTACAATCTCTTTTGTCCCCTTTCCCTTTATATAAAGGGACTATACATGCTCTCCGCCAATCCCTAGGTACCTTCCCCTCTTTCATACATTTATTAAACAAAAGTACCAACCACTCCAACACTATATCCCCCCCTGCTTTTAACATTTCTGTCATGATCCCATCAGTTCCAGCTGCTTTACCCCCTTTCATTCTACGTAATGCCTCACGTACCTCCACCACACTTACATTCTGCTCTTCTTCACTCCTAAAAGATGGTATACCTCCCTGGCCAGTGCATGAAATTACCGCCTCCCTTTCTTCCTTAACATTTAAAAGTTCCTCAAAATATTCTCGCCATCTACCTAATACCTCCCTCTCCCCATCTACTAACTCCCCTACTCTGTTTTTTAACTGACAAATCCATACTTTCCCTAGGCTTTCTTAACTTGTTTAACTCACTCCAAAATTTTTTCTTATT